TCGGCACCTGCCCAAAGACATGGAGGAGGTGTCTGTTGACCTGGACTGACCCCAGCCTCGTCCTCCATCCCATTGTCTATAGCCACAGTGGCTGTATTTTTAAAGATCCGATCTGATCACGACCTCGATGGTTCCCGCTGATATTCACGCCTGAACTGAAACTCCTCAGCACGATGAGGGAGGTCTACCAGGGTGTGCCCTGTCTCACCATCGGGTCTTCTCCCTCACCTCACCCCACTCACCTCCTACACCCTCGGGAGAGATCCCTCGGGCTCCGAGCTCTGTGCCCAGCCTCTGTGCTTTCTCCAGGCTACTGTCTGTCTAGAATGTTCTTGACTTTCTCCTTCAGCACCTAAAGGGCCATCTGCTTGTCCTTAAGCAAACTGTTCCTGGCTGACTGCCTCTAGGAAATCTTCCCACCCTGCCCCAGGACACATGCACCTGTCCACGCCTCCCACCCCTGCCGCCGGCCCCAGTTCACCTGCACACCTCCCCACCTTGGTTATCTCACACCCTTACCAGGTGTGGGGCTCCTTGAGGACAGGGACCACTTATCACTGTATTCTTAGTGCCTTGCCTAGAGAAGATGCACAATAACTATTTTCAGAACGAACAAAGCTCCACATTGCAACTGTTCTACTCTGCTCCTTAGACTTTGAACAGTGAATGAACTTTACAGCAGCAAGACGCGATATGGTTCCGGAGTAAGTGTGGGTGGCAAGGTACACACACACTGGGCTCTTGCAGGATTTAGGATGAAAGACATCCAAGCTGCCCTTTCCCCTTTCCTGGCTTGCCATGTTGCTCAGAGTGTCTGAAGCAGAACCAATTGGCCAGCTTAGAGAAGCCTGAACTACAAAAGGCAGAAAAACATCTGTCACCACTGTATCGCTCTCTTTTTCTGGCAGCCACGTGACAGCAGAAGGTCTCAGCATTTGCTTTGGAAAACAGGTCACTAGTGCTGCAAATTCCTGGAAGACCTCGGACAAGACTGCAAATGCCCCAGGTCTTCTCTAGCCTGATTTCTGCTGCTCTCTTAGATCTGAGAAGCCATCTTCTTATCCCAGGGTCAGAGGGGCCGGGAAGCTGTGTATCAGCACTCTTGCCCACCTCTGTCTCTCCTGAGGACACACTTGAGATGGCCTCCTCCCTGTGCCTCCCCACGTGCACAGTGGTCCAGGAGACAGCGGTTCCCATAGCGGCCTCCAGCATCTGGTGGCCAGAGCCCTCTCTGGGCACTGCTGCCTCCTGAGGGCATCCTTTTGGTCAGCTGTCAGTGTGAAACAGGGCAGATGAGGTGAGCGTGTCAATCATATAGGGGAAGGGAGGAGCCCACTGTATTATAGTTCGGTCCAGTGCTCAATGGGGACACCACAAGGTAGGGGCTGAGTCGGGCTGAGAGGTTTTCCCATTCGTGTCTCCTTCCCGACAGCAGTATCCGGTCATGAGAAGCCACGATCAGTGTTCTAGGATGCCCTGTGCAGCCACCAGGGCTACCAGTTGATCTCTCCAAGACGAACACTTGCATGGCACCCTAGGGGTTAGCACTCCTGTTGTTTAAATAGGCCACCACCAGGCAGTTAAAGAATGGGCTACATCCTTCAATACAACCCACAGAGGATATCACAACACAGTGCTGGTTCCTGACATTTACGTGGCATGTTACAGCTCGTGGGGCACTTTCCTATATGGCATCTCATTTAACGACACAGCAGTCTTTCGCGCAAGGTGTTGCATGCATCATCACCTTCCATTTACATATGGACGTCTGAGGTTCCGAGAGCTTAAATGACTTGCTTATGGAGCATCCCCTAGCAAGTGGCCGAGGACTAGGGCTCCAACATCCTCTGGGCCCCAACTGAGTCACTCTCAGTTCTGTGTACTGAAGTGAGTCCTGATTGCTAATGGTCAATTTGGTCAGATTGGCAGCATTTTAACAAACCCGTAGCTGAGACTCAACCACTCCAGGGCCTTTACAATTAATGTGCGGCCCGTGGCCAGCAGCACGAGCATCCCCTGGAAGCTCATTAGGAAGACAGAATCTCAGACCCACCTAGACCTACTGCATGAGAGACCTACTTCAACGAGACGCGGGGGACTCACACGGTGCTGCAGTTTGAGGAGCTCTGTGCCAGGCACCACGTGCCTTCCTCTCTCTGCTTTGGCTTACCTCTCTAGCTGTGCCTTGGGAAGGAGCTCGGGTGGGGAGGACTCAGAGAAAAGAAAGTTCTATCTGCTTGTTTCCTGATTAACCGCAAGAAAGCTGGTCTGTCTGTCCTGCTTCCTTTCTGTGGAACAGATCTCTACTTTCTTCTTTCTCACCGCCACACCCTGCTCAGCACTCTAGCCAAGAGACACAGCTCCTCAGCTGACTCTAAATCTTCTCTCTGGCATTAATTTTGATAAAAGCATGAAGATGGAAGATGTGATTTCAGTTTTCCTTGATTTCTGAGAATCCTGAAGTCTGTTTAAAGTCCTCCCAATCTGAGCTGTGACAGAGTCGTGATTTCCTAAGGAAGGTCTGTGATGTTAAAAATTTTTCTCTCCCTTTTTTGAGAAAGAGTCTCTCTTCGCCTCTCCAATGGAGTGCATGGCTTGATTGACACACCCAATAATTGGTTGGTAAATTAGCAGCTCTGCTTAGCCACAGAGCCAATGCAGCTTACAAGCACAAAGATTTATTTTTAAGAGGTGAAGCAAAGCATTGTGATAGAAATTAAAAGCAGGGTTTTAACCAGCTTCACTAATCAAGTTGGAATTACCCCCCTGCCCCCAGCTAACAGAGCAGACATTGTAATTCTTTTGTGATTCTTTTCTTTTCTTTTTTTTTTTTTTTTTTTTTTTTTAAGGATTGTTAGGAGCCCGCTCAAAGCAACCTCAAACTCCTGGGCTCAAGCGATCCTCCTGCCTCAGCCTCCCGAGTAGCTGGGACTACAGGCATGCGCCACCATGCCTGGCTAATTTTTTCTATATATTTTTAGTTGTCCAATTAATTTCTTTCTATTTTTAGTAGAGACGGGGTCTCGCTCTTGCTCGCTGGTCTCGAACTCCTGAGCTCAAATAATCCGCCTGCCTCGGCCTCCCAGAGAGCTAGGATTACAGGCGTGAGCCACCGCGCCCGGCCTCTTTTGTGATTCTTTTTGGACACTTTTTATAGAAAGATAATAGACTGAAATCAAGGTGTTAATGTCTTGCTATGTATAACTAATCTCTTTCAATGACCTTTCATTTTTTCCTACCTTGACCTTTTAACCACCACTGATCTTGATGCCTTCTGCATGGTTTTCAGCACAATAGTTCAAGTGGTGCCAGACCAGCCCTAAGTGGCTGGCAGAGCCTTGATTTTCCACAGGTAAGCAGTGGCCTTGGTGCATGTTTGGGACAGCAGCTGGTACTACTGTTTGGGGGCCCTTTTTCAGCCTACACAGTTGAAGGTAGCAGGAGAGAAGCATTTCTTCTCTCCCAGTAATTCTTTATCAAGAAAGGGCACAGTAAACTCACTTTTAGTCTTTTGTTAGAGGCAGCAGCATACTCTTCCCATCAGTTTAAAGAAAGACAAACTCCTAATTACAATTAAATACACTTAGGGCTACTTAACTGTTAAATACATCATTTACTGAATATGTGCTATTCTCTGCGACTAGAAGCAGGCCATTATTTTACTCTCGCTTTTGGGAAAATCTTGGGCCCTACTGAGTTTTCTAAATGTATTTGTTTCAGTCTGGTTATGACTGCTATTCAGAAGAGGCGCATTAAGTGCCTCCTTAGTAATTTCTGGCTGGTCCATGAGCAATTGGTTTAAGTCAACACTGACGATCAGAATCCTTTGCTCCAAATCCTTTTCACTAAGAGGACCCGGGAGACTGGCTGTGTGACTCAATTCAAGCTCCATCGGAGCCCCTTCCTCTAGAATTTCTGCTCTGATTTGCAAGTTGGTCTTTTAAAGAAGCCAGGCCAAATTCCCTCTGACCATTAAAAAAGCATGGTGCCCACACCTCCATCTATAACTTCATTGTGACATTATGGTGGATTCCCAGAGAGAAATTCTGGTTCGAGTCTAGACCTCCATTCCCAAACCTCTTTGCTCCTTGGACCCAAATATGTTTTTAGTTACCTTGGGACTAAGGGCAACTCCAGAACAGGGTTGAAATCTTAAGCAGGTGGTCAATGGGACATGGCAATTTTATCAGGGCATGTGTTTGGGAGGGTGGGGAGGAGTGAAGACTCCTCAACTTTCAATTTTTGTTCACCTCTGGGACTGAAAAAAGACAAGTTTCCAGGGCCTACTGTGTCAACTTAGCCAGCATTCTCTCCTGGGTTTTTTTGACTAGGCCTGAGTTGGGCCGGCCCTTGACACAACCCACGGGGGATCTACACCTTGGGCAAACATGAGATGCACTTATTCGCACAGATGAGTGCCAGGGGTCAGCACCAGCAACGTGACTCTTGGAGAGGCCTGGGGGAGCCCTGCTTTGTATTGAGGTAGGGGGTTGAGGTCAGGGTTACTGGCCTCCTTTTGAAAGGGGCGTCATTCCAGCGGACTTCATATGAGAAAATAGAGTCAACAAAGTCCAGACACTGCTTTGGTTTGGCTCAGCACACTGCCAGATACTCAGACCCATGCGATTACATACCCAAAGGAGGAAATGTCTTGGATTAGAAAGGAAATGAGTAAGGAAGTCTTTGCTGTGAACATCTCCACGAAAGACATAAGCTACTGGGAGCCCGCAGCCAAGTCACCTGGCTCCAGGGACTTGCTGTCCTCACCCCGCAGAGCTCGGCTCCCTCCTACCGCTGGCCCTCTCTGGAAGATGCTGCCTGCTCCTCTGTCATATAAAGGAGCTCCCGGGACTGAAGGGCAGGAGGCTTTTGCCACCAAGAGAGAATTCTGCCCCTGAGCTCACTGAGAGAGCAGGTGCACTGACTGCCACACGTCACCGCTCGCTCCTCCCACCGCCCTTGCAGGCGCGGCCACCAGGGGCAGTCCCGGGGGCGCCTACCTGTATCTCTGCTTCACAGACTGCTTCTCTGCGGACTTGCAGACGTGCCCCGCGTAGTACAACGGGAAGAACAGAAAGTTCCAGTTGGTGGCAAACCACGTCAGGGTGAAGGGCGCGTCGAACTTCCGGAAGGTCTGCTTGGCGAGCTGCGTGGAGCCGGCCCAGGACGCGCACACGCACAGCACGACCGCCACGCCCCAGAAGACCTTCTTGAGCTGCGCCCGGGAGCACGTCCAGCAGCGGCGGCTCCCTCTCCCGCCGGCCTCTGCCCCGGCCGGCGCCTGGGCCTCCGCCGGGCCCGGGGAGTCCCGGGGGCGCTCCTCCCCTGGGGAAGACAAGGGCGCGTGGTTAGTTGGCCGCAGACCTTCCCCTCGCCAGGCACCCCTCGCGCCCGGGGCCCCCACCCTGCAGCCCTTGTCACATCCAGCCGCTTGCGGGGCGGGAAGATTGGGGGCGCAGCTTCCCCGACATCCATGTGATGCAGAACTGCAATAGAAGACGTTTTCACTCGATCTTCCATCCTCCAGAACCTTGGCCTTCCAAGTGTGGTCCATGGGCCCGGCAGCATCAGCATCCTCCCCCGCCTCCCCCAGGGGAGCTTGCTGGAGATGCAGACTCTAGGCCACACCCCACACCCTTGAATTAGAATCTGCATTTTCGCAGGTCATCTACTTGCTTTGGGAAACACTCCTCCAGGACACACAGAGCGGCTGAAATATTTTCACTCTTGCTTGTGTCCGCGCCCCGCTACTGGGTGCTGGGCAATGCTAGCAGCCCCTACAGCAGGAGGTCTTGACCTCTAAAGGGTCCCAGGACCTTGGCAGAAGCTCCTCCCTGCCCGTTACTAAAAGGCACAGGATGCCAAGACTCTCCTTTTATTTCGCATGTACAGCAAAAAATAGACTCCCCAGCCCCTCTTAGTTTTCTATCTGCTTTAACTGGCTTCCGGCTGACAGCCTCCAGTCCCACTTCCAAGCTTTACTTAAAAACCACAACCTCTGGCAGCTGGTGTGTGAAAGGCCACAGACACTCCATTCGGGGGCTGTGTGATTTCTGGAAACCAGTCTGCAGCCCAAAGCCTGTTCCCGCAGACCAAGAGAAGGTGAAAAGTGGTATTGTCCACTGTTTGCTTTTCATTCATGACTGTGTGTCTGTCAGTCAGCTGGAAATTTAAACAGAACTGCGGCTGGTGTCTGGTTAGCTTTTGTCAGGTGTAACTAGGGGCAGATGCGAATTTCCAGAAGGCAGCGTGCTTGCCTTTGATAGATCCTGCCTGGAACTTAGCCGAACGGGAGACACAAGTACTAAGAGGCCATCTACACTACAGGGGTCCAAGAAATGAGTATGAAATTTATTGGAGTCAAGGTACTCTCCTGTACATGTTGTTTAAACTTAACAGTAATTGAAATAACTTTAATAACGTTAAACTGAGTTTGGTAGGTCATACTTTCTGAAACATTATAATTCTGTGCGGCAAAATCTTGATTCAACGTAGCCTATTATACAGGTGTTAGCTAATACTATCATTAACTGCCAGCCCTGGGTGTATCTGTTTCAGCCAAAGGTAACTCTAAGTGTTCCATGGCTAGTCAAGGAGAGATAATGTACTTGATTGGCCTGGATTCTGTTTGACACCATCTCTATTATGCTTCATTACCTGCTTTATTAATAATGAATCGCCCTCCTTCTCTTACTTTTCATGTGTGTGCATTTCCTAGTTGGAAAGCTCTTGGAAGACCAAATGTTTGGCCACCCTCTGAACTTCTGACAAGTTGTCTGTTCGTGCCTGGGCTGCAGGGCAGGAAGATGCAGGGAGCAAAAAGGAAGACGGACTCCCCTCCTCTTGCTTTTTGCCCTCCCACAGGGACCTCTTGCCTCTGCTCACAGTGAATTCCCACAATGTAAGGCAAATCCAACCTCAGACAGAAGCATGCACATTTCAATTTACACACGGATTACCTGCCATTTTGAATTAGCATCTGCAGCCTTTCATGATCGGGATAATTTGCAAGGTGTGTTGGAGGTTAAGGAGATTTGTCACTATCAGTATCACTGTCAAAAACTCATCCCGAAAAGATGATTGTGGAGACGAAAAAAAAAAAAGTCCACATAAAAATAAAATGCAGCTTCAGTAATAACTCCCAATATAAGAATGGACTCCAAAGGAGGTTGAATAAATTCAGGCTTCCAGCATGTTTCTTCATTTAATCTTTTCATTATAGCAAATTAAGCTTTAAAATTTAGAGAACTAAGCAATGACACTGAAGAGCTTTAACAATGTAGGGAGAAAATCATGGAATTTTGTATTGCTAAATTGTTTCTATGGATTTGGATTAAAGAAGTTATTCTCCAACTTTGTAGCCTCTCTGGATCCTCTAACCAAGGGAATATAAACAATACACAAACAAAATGACACTCAAAACTGAACTCAGTACTATATTATTTAAAAATAACCACATATAAGATAGAACAACATTTTCCAAAGTGTAATTCAGTTAATAGGCATAATAAGAAAAAAGGATTCCATGGTCAGATAAGTTTGGAAAATGCTAATTAGAACAGACAGATTCCTTTGCTGCAGGAATGTTCTGGACTGATAGACATTTCAAATTTCCAAGCAGCTGCTATAGAATGCATGCTTCCCTTATTATTTAAATGTGTAACACCTGTGGTAGGGACTAGTGTACCCTGGAACACACTTTGGGAAACATTGGAATAAACCCATAAAGAATAATGGACAACCAAACCTAATTCACTGCAAACCTTTCACTGTACTGAGCCTCTTACAATAAAAACCACTTATCAATTTCGTTACTTCACTCAATGCTTCTAGACGCATCCTATCTCACATAAATGAAAAATATTCTTTCTAAATATATTGCAAAAATACCGAATAGCAAAAAGAAAAAGCAATCGGTAATAATCTTAACACCCAGATATGTCACTGTTGACATTTTGCTGCTACATTTTCTCTAGTCTTTTGTGTGTGTGCAACACACATACACAGAGCTCTCAAAAGAAGATGCCCTCCCCCCCAACATGGACATACAAACCCACTCACATACTGACACAGCAAAATTGGGATCATATTGTATTTTCAACCTTCATTTATTTAACCTTATACATAACGGCGTGGACTTTATAAATCACACAGGGCTATGTGGAGTGCAATGCATCCTAGGATCATTTCAATTGGCTAGGAAATCACTGTGAAGCATTTGCCCTGTGCCAAGAGCTTTGGGTGGTCTATAAATAAATGTAAAGCATGATTACAGTTCTTCAGGAACTGACAGTCTATTTGAAAGTGACAAAACAGACCATGAAAGAATTACAGAAGAGTTACATGCAAAATGGAGAGATTCTGACGACGTAGCAGGAATTCTGCAGACAGCGTGGCCAGTGTGAGCTGGGGTAATAGCAACAAGAATCAGAAAAGGCTGAGGCTTGGCCCAGGCCTTGGAGGGTAGAAAGACTGAGCAAAATGAGGAGCAAAGTTCAGGATCAGGAATACTCGTGATCTGCCCCAGATGGGAGTGAGGATGGTGATGGGCAGTGGGCAGTGAGGATGATGGTGAGATCTGAAATCTGCTGCCACCTCGACCCTCTGTGACAACACCCAATCTTGCCTTGCTGAGGCATGACAGCAGGGGAAACTGCCAGATTTGCTGAAGGGATTGGAGCAAATTCAGATGTCAAGTGACCCTACTTTATTAAGGAAGTGCGAGCTCCAATGTCTATAACAGAGGGATAGAATTAGTTAAAGAATAAATGTGGAGGACACGACAAATTTGGTTAGCAGATGCATTTATTCTCCACTATTTGAAATGCAAAAAATGCAACCTACACTCCAACCACTTTCAGGGTTATTTTCAATTTATGCACCAACAGGTTTCAGATAGAAAGAACGACAACAAAGGGGGCAGTATCCATTCTCAGAACCCTTCAAATCTTCAAGTGCAGGAAACTTTCCTTTACTTTTCCCTCTCCTAAATTGCAAGTCAAGCATTGCCTTTGTTTGATTTTACTCCTTTATCACAGCTGAAAGAGAGTGCAGATTGCCTCCAAGAAATCAATGCCAAGTTAGCCCCAAGCTATTTCCTGTCCTGGTTCATCACCATTAGTACAGGACTAGAAATACTATTTATGTCATTGTAACCCTCACTCTCCCACACCTCTTCCCTGATAACAACCCCTCTGTTTATGATCTTCTTGTGCTTTAAATTCTAATCTTTAGCCGGAAGTTCTAGGAGCAATGCAAAGTAGATTATACACCCTCGCCCAATGCTTCTGCTGACAGATGCTGTAATTGTGGATTGAAGCGTCTCCTGGTATTTGTGTCACCTCTGAATGCTTTGTTCATGCTACTGAATTCACCTATAGATGCTGGAGAACAGGTGGGCTCATGCCAGTTCTGTTGCCAGAGTTGCTTCTGTTGAGCATTTGGAGAAAGTGTGTATGTGTGTAGGAGTGTGTGTGTGTGTGTGTGTGCATGTGTGTGTAAGAGGAGTGTTCTCTTGTGCACCTTGGCTGTGTCATGGCATGGTGAGATGTAACCATGCCTGTGTGAGAGCTTCCATTCTAAGCTGTGTCCCAGCATCCTGAAGGCTGTCAAAACAATTTACCAAAGCGATGGGTCAGTCCCACCACCTGCAAAGTTACACTTCCTGCTTGTCTCCTACCTATCAGGGATTTATAAAGGAGTCACACTCTTTGGTGAAACAGAAAATAGTACCTAGAGGCAATGTCTGCTCAGCAGAAGGAAACTCCAGGTCATAACAGGTGAGTCAGGGGTCTAATTTGGCTGTCAACTGATTTGGCGAGTCCTTTTCCCATGAGCTGTCCACTGCTTTCCCCTGAGAAAATGATAAATTGGGCACTTTTTATGTTTATTTAGTGAAAGTCATTTCTACAATGAAAAGCAAGAAAGATTAAAAATCATTTGCTCTCGTCTAATAAAATGACTCTTCTGGAACTTCCAAGAGAACACTAATGTTTCTTTTATGAGGTTTCCTAAGAATAAGTAGACCCTTGTTGACTCCCTGGATGAAAAAGTCTCCAGGGGGTTTGCACTTACAAAGTGCCAGAGAGAGTCCTTTCTTAGAATAATGGACCCAGAGCTGGAATGGAAGACACCCGCTGGCTGGCATGACCCAAGCCTCCTGCGAGCAAAGGAGATACCATTGCGCAGACAGTGGGAGGAGATGCTGCTCCACTGACATCTACATCAATAAAATCTACAGTTATTTATTTTTTTACAGCTCTATTGAGGTATAATTTTCATACCATAAAATTCAGTCACGTTAAGTGCACAATTCAGTGGTTTTT